CTAAAGCTTAAACCCGAAGCCCCAAACCAACCCCAAGCAGCCCCGAACCCTCAGTGTTGGAGCCTGCAGCTTCCGTCGGCCGTTCCGTACATCGCTGCTCCGAGCCAGGGCGGCCTTGACCCGGGGGTTCCGCTGGGCCGGTTGCGGGGGGGGGGGGGGNNGGTTTAGGGTTTAGGGTTTTTCCCTTCCCACTTAGCTTGGGTTTAGGTTTTGGGGTTTAGGGTTTAGGGTTTTTTCCCTCCCACTTAGCTTGGGTTTAGGGTTTAGGGTTTAGGGTTTAGGGTTTAGGGCGGTTGCAGGGGGGGGGGGACAAGAACTCGAGGAGTTGGGGCTTTCCAGTTGAAGGCTCAGAGAAGCTTCGCAACTGAGACAAACCTGGAAGAAGTTGAGGGTGTAGGGTTTATGGGGGGAATGGGCTTCGAGGATTCATGCGGTTAGGGTCTAGAATTTCAGAATTCCCGGTTTCGACGTTGAGGCTTTAGAAAGCTACTGACTACATGACGCTGGAGGAGCTGCTGAGGCGTTAGGCTTAGGTTTCAGGTTTGTTATTACGCCTTCCGAGTGGTTTGGCTCGGTGCTTGGGAATGTCGGCCTGACTACGCCTCGGGGCTTCCCTTGCTCTCTGTCAAACAACTGGGAGTAGTGAGGATTAGGGGGAACAGGCCCTTTCAATCAGGTCCCTTTACAGAGAGCCACAAGTAGGATTCGGTTTCTCGGGCTTAGAACTCGAGTTTCAGTGCTGATGCTCACGATCGACCGAGAGGCTCAGCAAAAAGACGTCTCAGCAGCCCGACCGTCGGTTGCGAGAGCAACTGAATCTCAATCATGCAAACAATAGTCTGATTCCGTATTGCACGAGCAAACCAGCCCATGGCTTCAGTCCGAATCACGTGCCTTATATCGGGGCTTTGGTAGTAATTACAATGCGACCTTGGGGTACAAGAAATTGTTTTGGTAACGATTTCACACCTTTCGAATCCTCGGATATTCTCTCGTTTGGGATTGATCTTGCGCCAGGCTTCCGAGATTCTGGAGACCCCCGAACCCTAGCCTAAACGCATACATCCCAAAACCCTACATCCGAAACGATGAACCCCCGAGCTCTGGCTGGCCAATCGCATCGTGCGCGTGCGGCTTGAGGTTTTTTTGAGTGGTCTCAAGTCTAAGACGTCTTGTGGGGACTGATATAACTCGTCAAGAGAACCATAGACGGAAATCAGAGCTCACCAGCTTTGCTATCTTCTATTCGGCTTTTTTAAGGGAAGCATTATATATTGTCGCTCAGTTAGGGTCGCCACCGGTGTATGCCGTTTCCTTGTTGGGTCGACAGACAGTTTCCAAAATCACAGACCACACCGCACTTACCAGTAACCCCCTCAAAAGATATGAGGAATTGCAAAGCTGGTGCGACGCCCGTCTTTCGAACCGGTGCCGAAGCGCGCAAGACCAGTGCACGCAGCACAGGGCCCTCGCAGCCCTAGCAAGCAAAAAACCTGAATCCAAAACCTCCCAAAACCCCTACCAGGACAAGACATGTAAGAGGAACCCTCATTGTCATAGGAACCCTCAAGGGACGCCCTAAACCCTAAACCCTAACCCTCATTGTCATAGGAACCCTCAAGGGACGCTTTTAAAGGAACCCCCTTAAAAAGGAGCGCGAACCTCTGGGAGCTGCCATGTCTTGGCCCAGCCGGGCGCGGCTGTCGCGCCTGTCGAAGCTGTCATCGCCTCGCTTCAAGGGGTTGATAGGGCTTATAGGGTTTAGGGTTTAGGCTTTAGGGTTAGGATGCCTTTGCCTCCCACCTAGCTAGGACGAGCCCGCACTGCAGGGTACAGTTAGGGTTTACGCTCTCACAAAGCCAGGCGAGGTTCATGGTGCGGAGTCGGCGTGATACTAGTCGCAACATCCCATCAGGGGCACTGGCAACAGGTCTGCAACCACAAATCTAAGACCAAATCCGCCACAACCGGCCAACCAGATGGATGGGATGCATCAGTGTAGCAGTTTGTTACCACTACACTCACACCAGCAGAAAGACCTCTCGTTTCACCAAGCAGACACAAGGCCAGACCTAAAAACATAACAAACAAGGCTCGTCAACCCCAGAGGTCTGTCTCACGGTGTAACCGGCATAAAGCTCTCCTGTAAGGGCACTCTTAGGCTTTGCACGGGCAAAATTACCAGTGTCAAGCAAGCAGGTGAACGGCCGGCTCTTGCGCTAGCGCCGGCGCGGATGGTCAGCTATGGGCACCTCTGAGTCAGGAGAGGCCAGCGAGGAGCTCCGCTGCTTCCGTCTCCCGGCCCAACTCCTTCAGGAACCCGGCCAAGCTCTTGGTGGAGCCAATGGTCTCCTTGTGTTGGGCGCCGTGGACCGACACAGCTCGAGCTCTTCGCGGAAGGGCTGCCCTCAACAAGTCGGCCAAGTTGTATATGTCGCTCATCGTCTCCGGGTGGGAGTCGCCAAGCCTCGCCCGGCGACCCGCCAGTGCCTGTCGATGCAGCGGCTGAGCTTCGTCATGGCGCCTTTGAGCCTGCAGCACCGTAGCCAAGCCGTTCATCGAAGTCAGCGTCTCCGGATGTTCTTCACCAAGTTTGGCCCTGCTACTCTCCATTTCTTCGCGGTGGAGCAACTCGGCCTCCTCATGACGTCCCTGCTCCTCCAGCAGCCCAGCCAAATTGCTCATCGAATCGGATGTGTGTCGCCGAGCTTGGTCCGCCTACCTTCTAGTGACTTGCGGAGCAGCTGCTCAGCCTCCTCGTTGCGTCCCTGTCCCTGCAGCAAGTGCCCCAGATTGTTCATCGATGTCAGTGCATCTCGCCCAACTTGTCCGGCTGGCCTGCAGCTCTTCGCGGTGAAGCGATTCCGCCTCCTCGTGTTGTCCCTGGGCCTGCAGCACCATCGCCAAACAGTTCATCGAGGCCAGCGTGTCTCGATGTGTGCTACCGAGCTTGGCACGGTGATTCTCTAATGCCCTGCGGAGCAGCTGCTCGGCCTCCTCGTAGCATCCCAAACCCTCCAGAAGTGAAGCAAGATTGGTCATCGACTGCATGGTATCTGCGCGTGTTTCGCCCAGCTCGGTCCTGCGACGGTCGAAACACTCTCTGTCCAGCTGCTCTGCTTCATCACGGTAGGCGCATTCCTGCAGCCTACTTCCGAGCTCGAGCATGCAGTCCAGGGTTGGCTTTGCATCGTCTCCCAGCTCTTCCCGAAGATTTGCCAGGCGAGTCCTTAACAGCCTCAGCAGACCATCTGCTGCGGCGCCGGCATGCTGCACCTCTCCAGCTTCGTTCATCACCTGTAGAACCCAAACATCCCGGTTGGGCTCCACAGCCCGCCCTTTGTAGTCCTCGCCCAACCGGATCCGGCGCTCCTCTCCTGTTTGGCGTCGCGCACGCTCTTGTGCGCGAGGCCTGGCGTCTGCCTTGCACAGAGGTTGTGTATGCGAGCTCCCTTGGGACTAGTATCGGAATATACAGAAGGCTGCACCGGGAAAGGAGTTTACTGCACGCAGTGTGAGCCAGCTGTATGGGGCTCCGCACTCGTATTTTGCTGAACAACTAAAGCAATTTGAGCCCTTGCAAAGGGCTCAAATTGCTGTAGTTCTTCAGCAAAATACGCCCCCGCTTCGGGAAAGGAGTTTACTGCACGCAGCATGAGCCAGCTGTATGGGGTTCCGCACTCGTATTTTGCTGAACAACTACAGCAATTTGAGCCCTTGCAAAGGGCTCAAACTGCTGTAGTTGTTCAGCAAAATACGCCCCTGCTTCGGGAAAGGAGTTTACTGCACG